ATGACCTGGCGCTCGACGTTACTATGACCGGTATTTATCTAACGGCTAGTCCCGTTCGGTCGTCACTCCGAAGTAACGGGCTACGCCCGTTGGGTCGTCCACTCCGGAAGGTAACGGCGCTTAGGCCCGTGGTCGTCCCTCCGAAGTAACCGGGCTAGCCCGGTTGTCGTCGGTCCACTCCGAAGTAACGGGCTCGGTTTTTATGATCTACCGGGGCCCGGTAGGGCCAGTCAAGGCAATTAACAGCCACGGGACTACTATTGGTAAGTTTACTACGCAAGTTTACATGAGGAGCATCTTAACAACTGCACTTTGAACTTATATGCGTCAATAAACTTCCCCTGTAAAGTGTCCGTTTATTTTTTTTCGTATTCTCCCCTTTAATACTTGAATTTCCAATATTAAGTAATGTTATTTTTTATGAATTTCGTTTTGTAAATTTAAAGTTAGTTTCGGTTATAATTTTGGTGTATTGCACGAGTAATAAACTTTTGGACCAAAAATATAACGTTAAATTGTAACGGTTAAAGGGGCGGTCCGATCAATACACCCCATCACTTTTGTAAGGGTATACCTCGAAACCATATGTAAACGGTATTTTTTTTTTAGCATACCGGATACTCCGAGTCAACCCCTCGCACTTAGTATGTGCTGTATTATACCTACGATCAGAGATTTGCCTTGTTACAGTTTCCCACGTTCTTCACACCATAACCATTGTGACGAGTCTCTCCGCTGAGATATTGTTACACTACAAATCAATATGTTCGTCGAGTACCGCAGTTACAGAGGTGTATATGGTTAGTTGGGAATCACATAAACGGAGGTTTCTCGGACTTTCGCGTCACACTGCTCGTTGCCGGAGACGCTTTGTGAAACGAGCGACCGCCGTAGCTCATCGCCGGCGCGTCGCCGCGAGAGAATTTTGGCCGTCAGGGACGAAGTATGTAGTGTGACCTGTATTCGCCGGTACTGTGTGTCCTGCTCTAGGAAATTCGCGCTTCGCACCGCTCCGATCAAGTGCCGGGCCCCGTGAAAAAGTTGTAAAAAAGCCGGCTCGTTTAGCACCCAAGTAGCTCCGGTGTTTGTCCCGATATCCCGACTTCAACGGATTTGATTCTCTCTCTTAGCCCGTTCCCCCGATGTGATTTGTTCTACTTGTTAAATGCACTAAAATTACATTTGTGCAAAGTTTTAATGACTGCTTGATTTTTTGTGAATATAACATTTTGTATGACTATGGCATGATTGTTGGTACTTTAAGTACGACCTGTCAGACTCTGTCTGCCGTCCGCTTTTAGAAAATTTTACGCGCAAGATTTACTTCGACCGATTCGGTTGCCATATTACGAGGCTGGCAGTGAGTGTGTTGCCGTCATGTTGTATTTTTGTCTCGCTGACCATAAGTGGTTACTTGCTCCTCAGACACAAAACTGAACATTGTGAAACAGATCAAGCTTGTCTATACTTCTCGACACCGAGACCACAATTCGTCGTGTGCTGACCCAAAAGACCCCCGCGGTGGGTGGTACCGAGCGATGTGCAGCCCGCGCGCGTGATTCTGATGATGGGTCCGAGTTGACATGCGGCTGGCGTTCGTATTTCAGCGGTCCGGATGTGGTTTGGCGTGCGCTTGCGCGCTGCTGCGGACGTCAGCTTAGCGGTATTCTGCGCATTCGTCCGATGACCCCCCTATGTCCCTCTCCGCTTTGAGACACCATACCACATCCCTCTCGAGTACCCTTACGTCTGTTGTGGGGGTGGCGGTGAGGGTCAGGAGGTCGTACGGCCGTAAGCTGTGGGGACTCGACGCCGGTGCCACCGTCTTTATCTTGGCTTCCTTTGGCTAGGTTGCGCTCTTAAGGTTGTTAAATTCTCAAGTGGTAAGCAAGGAGCAGCGGAGGGACAACTGCGCAGGTGAATACTAGACTACTAGGGAGCGTTGTGTAACGGGCGAGAGTAATTGTGACAGTCGGTGGTATCAGCCGGCGGGAGAAGCGGCCGTCGTCTGACAGTCCTTTGACTATTGTGCGGTTACCAGTCCGCAGAAGAGGACGCGACGTGTGGCGAGCTGTTGTTTACGTCTGTGAACTTAGTGTTGGGTCTACACCTATTGGGCGAGCCGTATGGCTGTGCGGTTTTGTGAGTGGTGGACTTTTTCCGCGTCTTCGCTTCTTGCTTCCATAAACTACTTCGTTTTTCCATTATGAATAACAAAATCAAGTGATGGTCAGTTTATCGTAGTAACCGACATGTATCCAAAAACTTTCTTTAATGACAAATTGCAATTGATGATTAAATTCTAAAGTAAGTTAATGAACTTAAGAGATTTTATTTAGGACTTTCTAAAGTTTCGACGACCAGGGACATGAGTTGCAGGTGTATTGTATAAATATCGGTTTCTGCAGAGTATTCACCTAGTCAACATAAAAACGAAAGAGATCGTTGGCGGTCGACTTCTACCAACCTCAGGAAATCCACTCGTTTGTACCCTGGTCCTGTGGTCAACCGCACGCGAGGAGCGTGTATAGCTGCGTGTGGTACTCTCGCACGTAATCTCAACAGTTTGCATACTCCAAAGGTCTACTAGGGCAGAGCAATTGTTTAAGATCCACAGGAATAGCGGGATTTAGTGGTAGTATGTTAGTGGTTTCTAGGTACTTTTGACCAATTGTCCTTATGTTGCAGATATCTAGTTCGGGAAAATGGAACGAAGTCTCTCGTTGTGTAACTGGTTGAAATTTGATTTTTTAGATGTGTCTGGGACACCTTTTGTGACGGAAAAGTTATAATAGAAAAAGGTTTTTACGTTTTGTTATGGAGATGGTAAAACCAGCAAAAGAGGACAAACTATTTCTTTAGGGTGTAAAAGTTCCATTAAATTAATTTCATATCTTAAGTTCATAGCTTATGTCCGACATAACCCAAAGGATAGCGTCTACCTTACAACATATCAACAAAGCGACTTCAAAGTCGTTCTGCAGAGGGGGACCCGCTGTCCGTGCTTTTTGGTCCCCTTTC